CTCGCCAAAGCTGCAGTCGCTCGACACATCTGGAGAATTTGTGGGGAGCGCACCGACATCTCCCCGATCTCCTCCACCGTTTGCAGTGGCAAGACCTACTGTTGTTAGGCAACCAGGAGCTGTTATGCCTGGAGGAAGTCCGTTCAGATGGGAGAGTCTGGTGAATGACCCGAATTATACAGCGCCCGTACTCAACTCGCCGCCGAGTCTACGTCACAAACAGAGCTTTCAAGGTCGTTTTGGACTCGAAGACGACGAAGCCAAAGTGCTGTCTTCGGCGTCGTCACCAAGACTGTCTCCGCGAGGATTCATTTCACCCCCAGAATCACAGGTACACTTTCCAGTCTTTAGCGTTTGGGTGATCTTCAGTAAGGGTCATAATTTATCATGCTTTGGGTCCTATACAGGCTGAGATTGGCGAAATGGGAGCTGATCCAAACTACTCTGCTACAGTTCTCACGCATGCTTTCAAGGGGCTGAAATTGGGGGTACCGCTCGGTTCACCACCGTTAGGTTCGCCTCTCATCGGCTCTCCTCGCCTAAGTCGAAAGATTTCCAACTCAGGTAACGACAGTTATGTATACGTTGGCTCTGGGTATCTGATTGATCCTTCTTGTGTCCAGAGTACCCCTTCTTGAAGGAAGAAGACATGTCTGCTCGTCAGTCTGCAGCGAGCAGCGCAAACAGTTTCCGTGGTGTTGGAGGAGCGGACGCTCGAGCTGCAGCAGCTCCATTTTTGAATGACGCGTACGGGTCGGGTAATGCCACAGCTGGAGATCTACAGCGCCAAATGAATGCGCACTTGATGCGCATGTCCGCCATGTCCACCATGTCATCCTTCCACGGTGACAACCCGTTCACAGGTTCCGTGACCCAATCAGCGCTGGAAGATGCCTTCTTGGACATGGCTGGCTCGCGCTTGGACGCTTCCAATGTTCTCCTGAGCAGTCGGATGTCAGCAGCACCAGGTTCTCAGTCCCACATGCGTATCCAAGCTCAGGAGAGTCAGCATACGCAACACGCAGCCTCCAAGCCACCAGAATGATCGATGATGAAGTATTTATCCTTTTTGATAAGCACACAAACAACAACAAGCAACGAAATGCCTTCCAATACATTTTGTCTCTTCATATTCCTGCAGTGCAAAGGCAAAAAACAAGAAATGCATTTCCAACACATTAGGCGTTCATGGCCACATTGGTCCGATCGATCTATGCCTTGGAGTCGTGGGTGGTCTGCGGGAGTGCTTCCTGTGCCGCTTTGCGCTTCTTGGCAGCTTCACCCTCTTTGAACTTGGCGTAACCGTAGAGAATACCACCGACCATGCCGAACGTGACGTAGATGGCCGTGTCGGGCTTTAGCGGCTCACCAAGCAGTAGAACACCGATGAAAGTGGTCGGGATCTTGTTCAACCCACCCACAGTCGCGTAGGTCGTGGCGGAGGTGACAGACACGCACCAGAAGGACGCGAGGTTGAGACCGACGCCGAGCACACCACTGATGAAGAGCAACATGGTGAAGTTGAAGTTGCCAAGTAGCGGGTTGCTCCAGACCGTGAAAGCCTCTCCGTTAAGCACGAGCGGGGGCGCCAGTAGCGGTAGTGAGATGAGGTTGTTGTAGAAAGCCATACCGAACTTAGAGATCTTGAGCGACGAGCGCGACGTGGCGTAGCGCATGTACAGCACGTAGCCTGCCGTGGCGGCGCAGTTGAGGAACATCCAGAAGTAGCCCGAGATCGTGGAAGGCGTGGCTTTACCGCCCACGTCACTGTATGAGGACATGACAGCGCCCATGAGCATGACGCCGAGACTTACGAGAACGAGGCCGCCCACGCGCTCGCCGAAGAAACGCCACTCGCCGAATACGATGATGATGTTGGTGACGTTCTTAAACACCGTGACGATGTGGATGGGGAGTCCCGCCGTGGCCTGCATGCCCGTGTACAGCATGGCCACGAAGAAAAAGGTCACAGGTGCCCACTTACGCGCAACGGCACTGTCGTACGGGTCGTACGAGATGAGCTTCTGCATCTTGGCCAGCTCGAGCACCAGCACGGCAACGCCGGCCTGCACCGCCACCACGAAGAACTTCTCGTCGAAGCCGTAGTACTTCTTACCCAGCAGATAACGGTTCGTCAGCACCATGACATTAGACATGACGCTGTACACGATACACGACACAATAGAGAGCACCAGCGAGCCCGCGGCGGGACCCTTTGCA